ACACATGGGGAGGGTGAGGTTGGTTTTACAGGGAAAAATGGCAGAGGTCGGGTCACGAGGCCTGTGGCTCCAAGTAACTTTCTACATCTTCTCATTCCAAATGGCACAGGATTCATCCTGGAGCAAAACTGCTGCCAGCAAGAATTCTGCCTGCCCTGGCAGGAAGAAGCACCTCCTCCAAACTGACATCAGGAACTGGGGAGGGTGAGCTATGTTTCACAGAGAAATGGGTCTGTGATAGAGTCCACGAGCCAGGGGCCATGAAAGAAGGGCCGCCCCATGAAAATCTGAATGGAGAAGGATTTGTCCTGGACCCAAGCTGCCCCCACGTCTGATAGTAAAAGGGTTTTAAATCATGGGGATTTAGGGTTAAAAGGCAAATTAAGCTTAGTAGGCCCTGAAAAGAAAACTGCACCTGTGTAGCTAGTACATGATAAATTATATAATTGTTAGATGTGATGATTGTTTAGTAATTAAATATAATTACTATTTAGTCATAAGAATAATCATGAGAAACTGTGGTCAGGGACCTAAGAAAGATCACGAGAAACTCGTGTCAATGTATACAATAGAACAATATAAGTTTAATAATTAATATGTAAGTTATATAATGATAGAATATAAAATATGTTCAGCTCAAAAGCCATGTTGGAGTCAGATTTGGATCTGTACCCCTGATTCCCAGAGCTCTCAATAAAAGCACCTGCATATAATCATATCCCCTGATTATGTGTGTTCCTGAATGCTAACACGTTGACCAGGGGTTGCCTTGAAATCCCAAGCACAGCTCGCAAAATGACATCAGGAACCTGGACTGGTGAGTTTTCTTTCCCAGGGAAAAGGGCCGGAGTTTGTGCTCAGGGCCCTGTGGCCCTCAGCGGGTGGCTGAATGCAAAAAATCCGAACATCAAAGGATGTGTCCTGGACCCGAGCTGCCACCACCTCAAATATGTGCTGCCCTGACAGTCCCAAGGGAGCCCTGTGAACTGACACCAGGAACCTGCGCTGCAGAATTTGCTTTCACAATGTAGATATCCCTCATTCATTCCCAGGGCCCTGTGACCCCCCTGGGTTGTCAGGTCCTAAGTTTCCTTTTGCCTCCTCAATGTCAAAACGGTGCAGGAGTTCTCCCAGTCCGAATCTCCCACCCCCAAGTACTCAGGGATTTTTTTTCATGCCAAATACCTGTTGCAAACTGACAGTACAAAGCTTGGGGCATGATTTTTTCTGTCTGGATTTCTCCTTGAGAAATCTGCCATCATATAACCCTAACCACAACCACTTTGCTTTGCTCAGAATTCACAACCTTCAGACTGGCAGCATGACACCTGACCCACTGGCCCTCCACTGGCACCTTCCCAAAGCATTCCACTGCATTCCAGTAGTACTCGGCATTTTCAGCAGGCATCCTGTCTGACCCACATCCTGACCCTAAAAATGCACCAAGGAATTCTAAAATAGCATTAGGAAGGTGTAACAATACTCTAAAAGACACCAGAAAAGTCTTAAAAAGCCTTCAAAAATCCCCTAAATATTCCTAATAGTCCCACAAAAAAAAAAAAAAAAACTCAAGGAAGCCTGCTCAGGCTCCAAGCCCCTTCCTGTTGCTCTCTAGCCCACAGATGTCATCCCTACCTTTTTGCAGCAGGTCCTGTTGTCCTCTGAGGGTTCTGGAGTTGTCCTGGTGCAAGGGTCGCTGCCCTGTCCCAGAGGTAGGGTTCCGGTGTGGTCTTGCTGTTAGGCTTGCTGTGTTGCGCTGCTGTTGTTAGGGGTGAAAAGGGAAAAGGCTGCTTAGGGTGAGGTTAGGGCTGGGGTGAGGGGTGATGCACCTGTACCCTAACTTGCCTCCTAAGCTGTAGCCTGTAGCCCTGATCTCCACTAGTCTGTCCAGCCCTCAAACCCTCTCCCTTTACTCCTCAACCTTTCCCTCTGCCCCCTAGCCCTCAGGCTCTGTGTGTCACCCTCAAGCCCCCCTTTGCCCCTCAAGCCCCCTCTCAGCTGCCCCTCAGCTCCTGTGTGCCACCCTTAATCCCTCTCCTTTGCCCCTCAGCCCCCAGCTTCTCTGTGTCACCCTCCAGCTGCCCCTGTCCCCCTCAGCATCTCTCTGTGTTACCCACTGTCCCCTCCCCCTGTTCCTCTCTCAGCTCCCAGCCTGTCACCGTCAAGCCCCCACAGTGCCCCTCAAGCTGCCCTTCAGCCTCTATGCCATGAAAAGACCCTAAAAAACCATAAAAACACCCTAAAAAAACCTCATCTTCAAAATGTCTTAAAACCCCCACAAAAACATAAAAATAGCCTCAGAATACCCTTAAAATACAATAAAAATACCCTACTTCAAAAAAAACCCTAAAACACCCCTAAAAATTCTCAAAGAACTTTTAAAAAAACCCTAAATACTCTTAAAAGAGCGCTAAAATCAGCCCCAAAATCCTTAAAACACACTGATAAGACCCTAAAAAAACATTAAATTTCCTCAAAAAACCTAAAAATACCCGAGTCCTAAGAGTCCTCCACATACCCCCAATAGTCCTAAAAAAGCCCTAAACAATTTTAAATAGTCCTAAAAAAGCCCCAAGAACACCAAAAAAAAAAAAAAAAAAGTAAAAATCCAATTGGTACTAAGAAAGATCTTAAAATAACTTTTAAAAATCTTTTAAAAGCCCTGAAAAAGCCCTAAAAGTATCCTAAACGTTTCCAGAAAGTTCCTAAAAAGCTCCTGTGAGAAAACCCCTCAAATATCCTCTAAAAACACTAAAAAAACCCACTAAAAAAAGTGCTCAGTCCCCAGGCTCTACCAGTCTCTCTCTAGCCAGCAAACATCATCTCTACCTTTTAGTTAAAGTCACTGCCTGCAGCTGCAGGAAGGGTTCTGGGGCTGTCCCAGCAGTAGGGTCACTCCATGTAGCTACTGTTGGGGAAAACTGGTGTTCTAGGGGTGCTGTTTGGGGTGAGCTTAGGGCTGGGGTGAGGGCTGCTGCTGTACCCTAAGCCTTCCCAGTACCCTATCTCCTGTCCTTTGTACCCCTAACCCTCAGTGTCAGATCTCCACTTGTCAAGTCCCACTCTCTTTGCCCCTCAGCCCACAATGTCTGTGTGCCACCCCAAGCCCCCGACACTGTCCCTTGGCCCCCTAACCTCCACCGTGCACTCCCCACCCAGGGAGGGGTGGTTTTGAGGGTGAGGTTAAGGGTGGTGTGAGGGCTGGTTCACCTGTCACCCTCAGGTACCCCCCACTTTGTCCTCAAGGCACCCCCTGCCTCTCAACCTCCTTGTGTCACCCTCCATGCCCCCACTGCAGCCTCTCAGTGTCTCTGTGCCACCCTGGAGCCCCCCTCTTAACTCCTACAGATCCCTTCTGCCCCTCAGCCTCCTTGTGTCACCCTCCAGCTCCCCACCGCAGCCTCTCAGCATCTCTGTGCCCCCCTTTTTACTCCTACAGACACCTTCTGCCTCTCAGCTGCCCCCACCCTCTATGCCACCCTCCAGCCCCCTGCCCTCAGCCCCAGGTTCCTTTGTGACACCCTGCAGCCCACAGATGTCATCCCTGCCTGTTTTATTTTGGTGTTGTCCTGCTGTGAGGGCTGCACTATCCCCACAAGTTTGGGCTCCCATGTGGTGCTGCTGGGAGTCACAGGTGGGCGGTGGGGGGAGTGAGGGATGGGGCAGGGGCAGGATGGGGAGGGGTGAAGGGTGAAGAGAGAGTAGGATGGGGGGGCTGGAGGTACAGCTAGGGGTGGGGGGGGGAGACAGGGACAGAGAAGAACAGGGATGAGGGGAGAAGGTGAGGGTAGGAGGGGGCACGACATATCTGACAGACAGAACTGCAGCAGAATAAAATTCTGGTTCCTGAGGCAATGCCAAACACCTGCTGCAAACTGACATAAGGAACCCTGGGAAAAGGGCCGCTGTTTGTGCTCAGGGGCCTGTGACTCTGAGGTGGCAGCTGCCTGCAAAAAATCCGAATGGTGAAGGATGCGTCCCAGACCCAAGCTGGCCCTGCCTCAAAGCCTTACCCTAAACTGAACCCTAAATCCTAACCGAAACACAAACCCTAACCCTAATCCTAACCTAACCCTAACCTCAAATAAATCTAATATTAATAATACCTCTAAATTTAAACTTAAAAATAACAGTAACCCTAGAAAATGGCGGCGCCCACGGCATCACGTGAAAGGGGCAATGATGGCGGCGCCCACGGCATCACGTGAACGAGGCAAATATGGCGGCGCCCATTGAATCACGTGATGTAAGCAAATATGGCGTCGCCTACTACATCACGTGACGGGACAAAGATGGCGGCTCCTACTACAACACGTGATGAAAGCAAATATGGCGGCCCCCACAGCGTCACGTGATTGGAGCAAATATGGCGTCGCTTACTACATCACGTGACGGGACAAATATGGCGGCGTCTGTGTAGTCATGTGACAAGGTCAACTATGGCGGCGCCCGCTGCATCACGTGATTGAGTCAAAGATGGCCGCGCCCAGAGAATCACGTGATGGGGCAAAGATGGCGATTTTCGGGACGGGGTCGATTTTGGCGGTTTTTGGCGGTTTTTTGTGTGCCCTCCGCACGCCCTGCGTGCCGTGGTGCTGTTCCGGTGCACCCGCACCGGAGGACGCCGCGCGGGATTATTTTTGGAGTGCGGGATTGGTGTCGGAATTTCGGACAGGCGGCTGTCGGGGCGACTAATGCTTGGGGTCTTTTCTGAGGCGCTGGGGGCGGTGCGAGGGGAGGGGTCGGGGCACCGACGTGGTGACGTCACGCGGTGACGCGACGCAGGGGCGGGCCAGAGGGAGGCGTGGGTGCAGTGCGCGAATTGCAACGGCAGGTGGCGCTGCGAGACCGAGGGCTGGGCGCGCTGCCGGCCGGCGGCTGTGGGGGCAGAGCGCCTGTTTGTGCAATTCTATCCTTGTGATGTTGATTTATTAAAATAAAAATATGGATATTGATCTAGTACCGATATCCAACTGTGACAGACAAAAACTCTTTAACAGTTTGAAGTTAGAAAGTGTATGTTTATTCGACACCCAGCAGCATGTGGGATAGTTCCCAAATACACACCGCACTTTCCAAGTGATTAAAGAGCCCTTTTATCCATACAAGTACTGAATACCGAAAATACAAATACCTATTCATTTTGGTACATCCCATTCCTTGCTTCATATGCTAATCATTTCAAAAGCTATTAAGCATGAAGTTTGTTCCCTGAAATGGGTCAGTGGTCTCTTTCATGGGGATGAGTCCCAAAATGTGGAAGTAAATGAAGTCTTCCTCATTCTGGCCTTTCTACCGTTTCAATGCAAATATGACAAATGAACTCTTAGTAGAACTCCCATTCCTTGTCTTCAGTTGATTTCAGAACAGAGGAGGCCCACAATTGTCTTATGCTCCTAAAATCTATTTATCCGTTTCTATATTCTTCATTATAAACACAGCTAACTAAACATTGTGCTGACAGGCAATCAATTACTAGTTAACTACTCACTCTTAACTTTATCAAGGCCTACTCATTTATTTTAATTAACTCTAGTAAGGCTTGTCTTTAACTAAAATCTTAGCTCCTCTAAATCCCTTAAAATTTATGTTTCAACATGATGAACTCTTGGTTGTATCATTATTCGTCTGGTGGGGTTGATGGGAGTACTGGTTGCTGTGTATTGCTACTGCTACCTGCCAGCTGGATCGCTAATTAGGGGCCCTATATCTATTAGGAAAAAGAAGAAAAACAATATGTCTGGTGCAGCAGTAGAAAATTTCAGGCTCCCAGCAATTAAATAATTTTCTTTAGATAATTATTTAAAGGTTTGGTTGTTTTTGGTTTTTTTTTACTCCCAGGGAGCCTGAAAGTTTTTACTGCTTTTTTTTTTAAAGCTGGAAAGGAAAGCAGAGTTAGAAATAAAGGTAGAAATAGAGAGAAACAAAGGGTTAAAAAAAGTTGAAGTTGGAGAGAAAAAGAGAGACTGAAAAAAAAAGAACTACGAAAACAGAGGCAAACAGTGAAAACAAAAAGAGTGAAAAATGAGCAGGGTTAGGGTGAAAAAGAAAGTGAGAGTAAAAAAGAGAAAAAAAAAGTTAAAGCTAGAGAGAAAAAGAAATAGTAAAGTATAAACTATAGAGAGAAAAATAAATAGTTGGAAACAGAGGAAGAAAGAAAAAAAAAGCAGGAAATAGAGAAGCAGAGAGACAGAGTTAGAAACAGTGAGAAATAGAAACACAGAGTTAGGGACAGACAGAAATTAAGTCAGAAATAGAAAAGAAAGATGAGAAGCAAAGGAAGAAATACAGTGAAAAAAAAATTACTGAACCACATCAAAGAAAGACAGGAGCCAAAGCTGGAAGGTGAGGGAGCAGGGGCATCATTACTAGGGTTGATTCAACTTTACTGAATGAATTTTTTTATTTACACTTCAGCAAAACACATGGAAACAATGGATACAAATACAAGTACAGATACAATCCATAGACATGCATAGATACAGAGCAATACATGGAAATGCAGCAGCAATGGCAAATACAGAACAACACAGGGCAATAGAAACCAAACACATATCAACACAACATGATCCTTTTTTCTATTTTAATTACATTTTGTTTTATTGTTAGAGGAAACACAAAACAAAGATTACACACACAAAACAACACTCATCCACCACGAGCACCTCCTTCATGTTACACACAAACTCACCATCGCTCTCATCTCAACTGCTCCGTTACACCCCAGAAATCATTGTTCCTCGGGAACGTGGCTCCCGGGAGCCTCCAAAAAATCCTCCTTGACAAAAACCCTGGTCTGGGGATGGTCTGTGGCCCAACCTTAGTGATGAATGTCACCTCGTGGACTGGCCAGGACAGAGGAAAAAAACCCAGCCAGGGGGTGGCGGGGGGGGAAAAAAAACCCAGCTGGGGATTTTTTATTCTAAATTCAAAAATGAGTTGAAAAACCTGAAAGGCAAAGGCCATACACACAGGGTTAACACCGGTCAGCATACGCTCAGACCTGCAGACAGGAGCACACACAAACTTCTCACAAACAGATACAGACAATCACACTTTTGCTGACACGCTGAATGCCACCCTTATGTGAAACACTACGCTGAAGAATATGCTTCGACACATCTTCTGACTGCCGCTCCTCGACGTCAAATGGTAGATTCCAGGAAATTCTGTAGGGACCCGGAGACCTACAAGACAATGGGAGGCAGTCAATGACTGACTATCTGACAGCTAGGAGCTATTCCCACTCTGGGCCCGTCAGTGTTGTACCCAAAACCCCATACAAGACAGATGAACTGCGAATTTTTGCAACTGCTCTACCTAAGCGTCACTACGTGCCAGGACAGGGCAGCTCCGATCGTAATTGGCACAACAGAGGCTCGTACAACATAAGCCAAGGTAGGTACATACAATATAAGTGCACACATTATAAGCCAACATAGGTAGGCACAACATAAGCACATATAATATAAGCCAACAGAGATACAATATAAGTGAGGACTTGACATAACTCTCCAGAAGATTAATTCTTGACCCTATACCCTTTGAGAAGGCGGAATCTACAGAATTACTGCGGTCACATGATGAGTGTCTAATATGCTCCATATAGAAGTCCAAGAGAATGGCATGGGAAGAGAAGGCTACCAAAGGTGAGAAGAAAGATGGATGAGAACATCTCATGTACATCTTCCTGTCCCAAAAAGTAAAAATGTAAATATGCCAGAATAAGTGATATCCAGGAAGGTACGTGAGTAAAATACAGCCAATACAGCACAGAATGATGCTGCTAAAGCATGGAGATGTAACAAAGGCCTACGACACAGAAATCAGTGGACACGGAAAAGATGACACTGGACACAGACACCATGATACGGACACAAGTGGAAACTGCCTGGCAGTTCCACCTTATGGACCCCAAGATTCCTAACCCAAGATGAGCCATGGGCTGATGAAGCCAAAGGAAAGAAAGAACTAGGGCAATACCACATGATGGTGAAAGGTAACTCCTCTCAAGATGTTAGTGCCAAAGCACTTAAGAGGAAGCCTAAACAGCTCAGTAAGTCCAGAGAAGGAAGCAATGACTACGGGGTGACCATGGCTATAGCTCCAGACATGCAGGCAGGCTCCTCAAGTGAAAATATCCACGATGACATCAAGAGTCGTAGAAGGCCGCTGATGCGAACCTCATGAGAATGCGGAGACGGATCGGAACTGCCCTGGCCGGCAAAGACTCCGGTGAGGCTGAGGAGAAACCCTCTCCCTTTGCCCCCAAGGGGCCCGTTCCACTATGGGCCTCTCCTCTAAGTTAACATCAAATTGCCTCCTGTGATAGTAAAGGTTTTTCCCCCATCTCCCACCAACTGGTCCCAGCACTTAGCTTTTGCAAGACGACAGGACAGAATCCAATGTCAGTTGGATGCGGACGGGGAGATGTTCTCTACATCTGCTTCAGTGCTGCCAGTTCCAAACTTCAGCTACGCACCTCCTCGGGGTACCTAAGACAAAACGGAAAATGCAATTAGTGCCCACCAAAGGAGGAATCCCCGGAACTCAGACACACCGCTGCCCCAGCTCACCAGAAAACTCGATTTGACTCCACAGGCTGCTTGGAGGACACCTGCAAAATGAAAAGGTACACGCTTGGCATGCTGCTGCATAACGGTCACCTATGAGTGACCGTGCCTAAATGCCAACTCACCCGCTTGCCTCTGTTCCTTCACACACCTAGAGCAATGACAGCACCTGCAAAAAAACAAAGCAAAAACACCAAACCCACACTGAGATACTGCAAAAACACCACCCCCCTGACTCGAAAAGTACACCCACCCAGACCTTAAGCTTGCACCCACCTGGCTTCAGACATCCAGACCAGAGACATCTTGCAAGAGGACTGCCTACAATAAAACAAAGTAACCCAGAGTGGATGCTTAGAATTGCACCAGAAATTGAGACAGGAGCCAGAACAACAGCTTCTGTCCACTGCTCACCTGGCACACTGGGCCTTGACTGCTCCTAGCCACCTGGACTTCCTAAAATTAAACACAAAGACAAGCGCTGTAACACAGTCACGATGTAGGCTTCTTCTGCAAACACAAACCATGACTGACCTTCTCAGGGAAGCCCCCTGACCGGAGCAGGGCACACCGCCACAGAGTTAATGCATCTGCATCTGAAAGAAAGTTGGGAGAAAATTCAAACAGCTGTAGGATAACTTAACAGGTCAAAACATCTAGTGTGAATTTAGGAATACTATCTTGAATGCAACTACATGCCCCACGCAAAATTGCAAATCTCTGGGATTGGTGCAATTACACAAGGCTACGCAGCAGGACAGAGCAGCTGAGGGACAAATAAGCGCAGACACCCGTGACACAGGACAGGACAGGAAAAACAAAAGGACAGGACAGGGAGAGAGAACATTTGACGAGAGGAATGTCTGCAAAGACCAAGACACCCAAAGAAAACAGAGTGCACCATAGACAAGTGACAGGACACACACCAGAACTGCTCTGCCCTGTGCACCTCAGCACAGAGACCAAAACAGACACTTTCCCTTTAGGTGGCCTAAGGGGATGCTTCTTGGACATCCCCATCTCCAAAATTGACTCAAAAACCCCTCCTGCGGAGTCCCAACCTGGCACCTCTCTTCCTTCCCCTCTGTGGGTCACAACCCTCGACTTATCTTGCACATATCTGGGGATGCAAATCCTCATCAGGTGCAGAAGGAGGCCTCCTGCCGGTCAGGGAAATTCCAGTTGTCACCAGGCTGTTCCCTCTTGGTCTGACAAGAGAAAGAAAACCAAACATCAGTGCACAACCTTAACAGTACATCGGCCAAAACCTGACAATTCTGCTACTCACCGTTTCCTAAGAATGCTCGGGCCACGCACCTCAGGCGTGCTTGGAGGACGACGCCTTCAACACAGGGTACACCTAGGTTAAGTGGAGACAAGGTGACGCGGCATTGCTGAAACTTCAGAGGACCCTCGCTCCTCCTCCCAACCTCCCCAACTCACCACAACTCCTCGGCCATTCCTCTGGGCTACCAGGAGAAGACCTTGAAATACAAAATCGGTAGGCTTCATCACAGGGTCCTGTAATACTTCCAGAGGGCTCATAAGTGCAGAAAACCCGGTCCATCGGCCAGCTGGTGACAGGGGCTTGGCATACTCCCAGTGGATTCCCTAAAGCACACAAACAAAAAAGCATGCTTACAGTTGCACCAAAAACTGAAACCTGAGCAAGAACAACTACTTCTCTCCACTGCTAACCTGGCACAATGGGCCTTGGCTGCTGCTATCTGCCTGGACTTCCTAAAAATAAAGGCAAAGAACACCACTGTAACACAGTCACCATTAAGGCTTTCCCTGCAAATGCAAACAATGACCTGCTCATGGGAAGTTCCTTATCCAGGACTGGAGCCCACTGCCACAGATTTGAACTGCCTGCATCTGAAAGGAAGTTAGAACTAGTGTCAAAAGGCTGCAGTAAAACTTAACAGTACCAAACATGTTATGGCAATCTCCTAATACAATCTAGAGCCCAAATACACCCTGCATTACAAATTTCAAGTCCCCAGCACTTGTGCTATTACAGGCTATGCAGCAGGGCAGAGCAGCTCCGGGATGAATATGTGTAGACACCCGTGACACAGGACAGGACGTGACAAAGGAGGGGACAGGAGAGGGAGAGAGAGCTTTTGATGAGAAGAAAGGACCGAGAGACCCAAAGAACACAGAGTGCACCAGAGACAAGTGACAGGACACACACCGGAACTGCTCTGCCCTGTGCACCTCAGCACAGAGATCAAAACAGACACTGTCCCTTTAGGTGACCTAAGGGGATGCTTCTTGGACATCCCCATCTCTAAAACAGACACAAAAGCCTCTTCTAGAAAGTCCCAACCTGGCACCCCACCTCCATCCTCTCTGTGGGTCATAACCCTCCACTTATCTTGCATGCATCTGGGGATGCAAATCCCTGTTGGCTGCAGAAAAAGGCCGTCTACCTGTCTGGTAAGTTCCAGCTGTCGCCTCTTGGTCTGCCGAGAGAAAGAAAACCAACCATCAGTACACAGTCTTAACAGCACATCTGCCAAAACCTGATAATTTTGCTACTCACCATTCTCCTCAAAATGGACATGTACTTGGCCTGGACGCTTCAGGTCTGCTTGGATTCTGACGCCGTCATTGCAGGGTACAGCTAGGTTAAGTGGAGACAACGTTACATGGCATTGCTGAAACTCGAGTGGACTCTCACTCCTCCCTACCTCACCGACTCACTGCAACTCCTCGGCCAGTCGTCTGGGCTACCAGGAGAAGACCTTGAAATACAAAATTGGTAGGCTTCATCACAGGGTCCTGTAATACTTCCAGAGGGCTCATAAGTGCAGAAAACCTGGTCCATCAGCCAGCTGGTGACAGGGGCTTGGCATACTCCTAGTGGATTCCCTAAAGCACACAAACAAAAAAGCATGCTTACAGTTGCACCAAAAACTGAAACCTGAGCAAGAACAACTGCTTCTCTCCACTGCTCACCTGGCAGACTTGGCCTTGACAGCTGCTATCTGCCTAGACCTCCTAAAAATAAAGGCAAAGAACTCCACTGTCATAGAGTCACCATTTAGGCTTCCCCTGCAATTGCAAACAATGACTGACCTGCTCATTGGAAGTTCCTCACCCAGGACTGGAGCCCACTGCCACAGATTTGAACTGTCTGCATCTGAAAGGAAGTTAGGACTAGTGTCAAACAGCTGCAGAAAAACTTAACAGTACCAAACATGTTATGGCAATCTCTTAATCCAGTCTAGAGCCCAATTACACCCTGCATTACAAATTTCAAGTCCCCAGGACTTGTGCTGTTTCAGGCTATGCAGCAGGGCAGAGCAGCACCGGGATGAATATGTGCAGACACCCGTGACACGGGACAGGACGTGACAAAGGAGGGGACAGGAGAGGGAGAGAGAGCTTTAGATGAGAAGAAAGGACTGAGCGACCCAAAGAACACCAGAGACAAGTGACAGGACACACACCGGAACTGCTCTGCCCTGTGCACCTCAGCACAGATATCAAAACAGACACTTTCCCTTTAGGTGGCCTAAGGGGATGCTTCTTGGACATCCCCATCTCCAAAACAGACACAAAAACCCCTCCTGCGGAGTCCCAACCTGGCACCTCTCTTCCATCCCCTCTGCGGGTCGTAACCCTTGACTTATCTTGCACATATCTGGGGATGCAAATCCTCATCAGGTGCAGAAGGAGGCCTCCTGCCGGTCAGGGAAATTCCAGTTGTCACCAGGCTGTTCCCTCTTGGTCTGACAAGAGAAAGAAAACCAAACATCAGTGCACAACCTTAACAGTACATCGGCCAAAACCTGACAATTCTGCTACTCACCGTTTCCTAAGAATGCTCGGGCCACGCACCTCAGGCGTGCTTGGAGGCCGACACCTTCATCACAGGGTACACCTGGGTTAAGTGGAGACAAGGTGACGCAACATTGCTGAAACTTCAGAGAACCCTCGCTCCTCCTCCCAACCTCCCCAACTCACCACAACTCCTCGGCCATTCCTCTGGGCTACCAGGAGGGGACCTTGAAATACAAAACCGGTAGGCTTCATCACAGGGTCCTGTAATACTTCCAGAGGGCTCATAAGTGCAGGAAACCCGGTCCATCGGCCAGCTGGTGACAGGGGCTTGGCATACTCCCAGTGGATTCCCTAAAGCACACAAACAAAAAAGCATGCTTACAGTTGCACCAAAAACTGAAACCTGAGCAAGAACAACTACTTCTCTCCACTGCTCACCTGGCACAATGGGCCTTGGCTGCTGCTATCTGCCTGGACTTCCTAAAAATAAAGGCAAAGAACACCGCTGTAACACAGTCACCATTAAGGCTTTCCCTGCAAATGCAAACAATGACCTGCTCATGGGAAGTTCCTTATCCAGGACTGGAGCCCACTGCCACAGATTTGAACTGCCTGCATCTGAAAGGAAGTTAGAACTAGTGTCAAAAGGCTGCAGTAAAACTTAACAGTACCAAACATGTTATGGCAATCTCCTAATACAATCTAGAGCCCAAATACACCCTGCATTACAAATTTCAAGTCCCCAGCACTTGTGCTATTACAGGCTATGCAGCAGGGCAGAGCAGCTCCGGGATGAATATGTGTAGACACCCGTGACACAGGACAGGACGTGACAAAGGAGGGGACAGGAGAGGGAGAGAGAGCTTTTGATGAGAAGAAAGGACCGAGAGACCCAAAGAACACAGAGTGCACCAGAGACAAGTGACAGGACACACACCGGAACTGCTCTGCCCTGTGCACCTCAGCACAGAGATCAAAACAGACACTGTCCCTTTAGGTGACCTAAGGGGATGCTTCTTGGACATCCCCATCTCTAAAACAGACACAAAAGCCTCTTCTAGAAAGTCCCAACCTGGCACTCCACCTCCATCCTCTCTGTGGGTCATAACCCTCCACTTATCTTGCATGCATCTGGGGATGCAAATCCCTGTTGGCTGCAGAAAAAGGCCGTCTACCTGTCTGGTAAGTTCCAGCTGTCGCCTCTTGGTCTGCCGAGAGAAAGAAAACCAACCATCAGTACACAGTCTTAACAGCACATCTGCCAAAACCTGATAATTTTGCTACTCACCATTCTCCTCAAAATGGACATGTACTTGGCCTGGACGCTTCAGGTCTGCTTGGATTCTGACGCCGTCATTGCAGGGTACAGCTAGGTTAAGTGGAGACAACGTTACATGGCATTGCTGAAACTCGAGTGGACTCTCACTCCTCCCTACCTCACCGACTCACTGCAACTCCTCGGCCAGTCGTCTGGGCTACCAGGAGAAGACCTTGAAATACAAAATTGGTAGGCTTCATCACAGGGTCCTGTAATACTTCCAGAGGGCTCATAAGTGCAGGAAACCTGGTCCATCAGCCAGCTGGTGATAGGGGCTTGGCATACTCCTAGTGGATTCCCTAAAGCACACAAACAAAAAAGCATGCTTACAGTTGCACCAAAAACTGAAACCTGAGCAAGAACAACTGCTTCTCTCCACTGCTCACCTGGCAGACTTGGCCTTGACAGCTGCTATCTGCCTAGACCTCCTAAAAATAAAGGCAAAGAACTCCACTGTCATAGAGTCACCATTTAGGCTTCCCCTGCAATTGCAAACAATGACTGACCTGCTCATTGGAAGTTCCTCACCCAGGACTGGAGCCCACTGCCACAGATTTGAACTGTCTGCATCTGAAAGGAAGTTAGGACTAGTGTCAAACAGCTGCAGAAAAACTTAACAGTACCAAACATGTTATGGCAATCTCTTAATCCAGTCTAGAGCCCAATTACACCCTGCATTACAAATTTCAAGTCCCCAGGACTTGTGCTGTTTCAGGCTATGCAGCAGGGCAGAGCAGCACCGGGATGAATATGTGCAGACACCCGTGACACGGGACAGGACGTGACAAAGGAGGGGACAGGAGAGGGAGAGAGAGCTTTAGATGAGAAGAAAGGACTGAGCGACCCAAAGAACACAGAGTGCACCAGAGACAAGTGACAGGACACACACCGGAACTGCTCTGCCCTGTGCACCTCAGCACAGATATCAAAACAGACACTTTCCCTTTAGGTGGCCTAAGGGGATGCTTCTTGGACATCCCCATCTCCAAAACAGACACAAAAACCCCTCCTGCGGAGTCCCAACCTGGCACCTCTCTTCCATCCCCTCTGCGGGTCATAACCCTTGACTTATCTTGCACATATCTGGGGATGCAAATCCTCATCAGGTGCAGAAGGAGGCCTCCTGCCGGTCAGGGAAATTCCAGTTGTCACCAGGCTGTTCCCTCTTGGTCTGACAAGAGAAAGAAAACCAAACATCAGTGCACAACCTTAACAGTACATCGGCCAAAACCTGACAATTCTGCTACTCACCGTTTCCTAAGAATGCTCGGGCCACGCACCTCAGGCGTGCTTGGAGGCCGACACCTTCATCACAGGGTACACCTGGGTTAAGTGGAGACAAGGTGACGCAACATTGCTGAAACTTCAGAGAACCCTCGCTCCTCCTCCCAACCTCCCCAACTCACCACAACTCCTCGGCCATTCCTCTGGGCTACCAGGAGGGGACCTTGAAATACAAAACCGGTAGGCTTCATCACAGGGTCCTGTAATAGTTCCAGAGGGCTCATAAGCGCAGGAAACCCGGTCCATCGGCCAGCTGGTGACAGGGGCTTGGCATACTCCCAGTGGATTCCCTAAAGCACACAAACAAAAAAGCATGCTTACAGTTGCACCAAAAACTGAAACCTGAGCAAGAACAACTGCTTCTCTCCACTGCTCACCTGGCACACTGGGCCTTGACTGCTGCTATCTGCCTGGACTTCCTAAAAATAAAGGCAAAGAACACTGCTGTAACACAGTCACCATTAAGGCTTCCCCTGCAAATGCAAACAATGACCTGCTCATGGGAAGATACTCACCCAGGACTGGTGCCCTCTGCCACAGATTTGAACTGTCTGCATCTGAAAGGAAGTTAGGACTAGGGTCAAACAGCTGCAGGAAAACTTAACAGTACCAAACATGTTATGGCAATCTCCTAATACAATCTAGAGCCCAAATATACCCTGCATTACAAATTTCAAGTCCCCAGCACTTGTGCTATTACAGGCTATGCAGCAGGGCAGAGCAGCCCCAGGACAAATATGTGCAGATACCCGTGACACAGGACAGGACGTGACAAAGGAGGGGACAGGAGAGGGAGAGAGAGCTTTTGATGAGAAGAAAGGACCGAGAGACCCAAAGAACACAGAGTGCACCAGAGACAAGTGACAGGACACACACCGGAACTGCTCTGCCCTGTGCACCTCAGCACAGAGATCAAAACAGACACTGTCCCTTTAGGTGACCTAAGGGGATGCTTCTTGGACATCCCCATCTCTAAAACAGACACAAAAGCCTCTTCTAGAAAGTCCCAACCTGGCACCCCACCTCCATCCTCTCTGTGGGTCATAACCCTCCACTTATCTTGCATGCATCTGGGGATGCAAATCCCTGTTGGCTGCAGAAAAAGGCCGTCTACCTGTCTGGTAAGTTCCAGCTGTCGCCTCTTGGTCTGCCGAGAGAAAGAAAACCAAACATCAGTACACAGTCTTAACAGCACATCTGCCAAAACCTGATAATTTTGCTACTCACCATTCTCCTCAAAATGGACATGTACTTGGCCTGGACGCTTCAGGTCTGCTTGGATTCTGACGCCGTCATTGCAGGGTACAGCTAGGTTAAGTGGAGACAACGTTACATGGCATTGCTGAAACTCGAGTGGACTCTCACTCCTCCCTACCTCACCGACTCACTGCAACTCCTCGGCCAGTCGTCTGGGCTACCAGGAGAAGACCTTGAAATACAAAATTGGTAGGCTTCATCACAGGGTCCTGTAATACTTCCAGAGGGCTCATAAGTGCAGAAAACCTGGTCCATCAGCCAGCTGGTGACAGGGGCTTGGCATACTCCTAGTGGATTCCCTAAAGCACACAAACAAGAAATGATGCTTACAGTTGCACCAAAAACTGAAACCTGAGCAAGAACAACTGCTTCTCTCCACTGCTCACCTGGCAGACTTGGCCTTGACAGCTGCTATCTGCCTAGACCTCCTAAAAATAAAGGCAAAGAACACTGCTGTAACACAGTCACCATTTCAGCTCTGCCTGCAAATACAAACAATGACGTGCTCATGGCAAAAACCGCCCCCAGGCCTGGGGCCCTCTGCCACTGATTTGAACTGTCTGTATCTGAAAGGAAGTTAGGACTAGTGTCAAACAGCTGCAGGACAACTTAACAGCACCAAACATGTTATGTCAAGCTCCTAAAACAATCTAGAGCCCAACTACACCCTGCATTACCAATTTCAAGTCCCCGGGACTTGTGCTATTACAGGCTATGCAGCAGGGCAGAGCAGCTCTGGGAGAAATACGTGCAGACACCTGTGACACAGAATGTGACAAAGGAGGGGACAGGACAGGGAGAGAGAGCTTTCAGCAAGAAGAAAGAACTGAGAGACCCAAACACCAAAGAGTGCACCAGAGACAAGCGACAGGACACACACCAGAACTGCTCTTCCCTGTGCACCTCAGCACTGAGATCAAAACAGACACTTTCCCTTTAGGTGGCCTAAGGGGACGCTTTTTGGACATCCCCATCTCCAAACCTGACTCAAAATCCCCTCCGGGGGAGCCCCAGCCGGGTACCTCTCTTCCTTCCCCTCTGTGGGTTGTAGCCCTTGACTCATCTTGCACATATCTGGGGATGCAAATCCCCATTGGTGCAGAAGGAGGCCACTGCTCCCATCCTCCGGCCATGGCCCTGACTTATCTTTTGGATGACTGGAAATGCAAATCCACGTTGGACCTGAAATGAGTCTGCCTCAGAGGGGATCGCCTGTTAGCCTCTTAGTCAGCTAGAATAAAGAACAGGAAAATCAATGGTTGAGTTTACTGTTATGTGGGCCAAATCCCAGCAAGTCAGATACTTATTGTCTCCTGAGTGTGCTTAGGTGCTCAAGTCTCCAGCTCCATCCCTAGTCTAAGGTTTGGCTGTTATTATGAGTGGCGCCTGGTTTAGAGAGGCAAAGGTACAGGGCATTTCTGTGAGTTCAGTGGATAAGCTTGTGCACTGTATGACACATGGATGCCTCCCCTGTGCTTGTGAAAAGCCTTGCAAATAGACACCATTTCTCACCCTACTGCCTGCAGACCCCTACCATGATAACTCTTAACTGGGTACCCTGCTCACTCTCCCACTCCTAGTCACAATCTTCAACTCACCTGAAGCCTCAATCTCAGACACCATCTTTGACACAGGGCAGATCCCTTCTGTGACATGATGAATCTGCTGTAAAAATGTTGTACTCGACACAACCGGGAAGTACAGGAAGTTGCACTCCTCCTTAAAAAAAAAAAAAAAAAAAAAAAAAATCAGAGATTACAAAAGCACTTCACCACCCCTGAATGCACAACTCCAAATCATGAAATTAAATACTCCCTGTGTTCAGCACAGTTTTCTTCACAGTATCTTCAAAGCCTCTGTTGCATTAGAAGCCCAAAAGCACCTGAAGAGAACAAGCTAAGCTGAAAGAGCCTCTTCACCAAAACGGGAGGAGACCACTTACCCCAGCTAATCCCAGAGAGGGAATGAAGCCCCTTGGCAAAGCCTGGGGTTAATATACCCCTGATTGGGCCCGCCTCTCATTCCCATGACACCCAGGAAAAGGGAGGGGGCAAACCCCACCGGGTATAAAAGCCTTCAGAGCAGCTATAGGTGTTTGGCTCCTCGGATTTGAATTCAAGGGGAATAAAAGGCTGGATATAGAAGAAAACTCTTCAGGGAAATGACAGCGCTTTCTTTTTTGCTACTAATATACTAATTATATGAACAGTCTAAGTCTCCTTGGGGCTGCTAATTAGGGCTAGCTACATTATAAATAAAAATAAGAAAAATAATAGGCTCCTGCATGGCATGAAGATTAAGGACATGCTAGGCTTGCCTTTCTCTGAGATTTTTAGTCCTAGGGTACAGAAAGAAGTGCCCTGAAAGTAGTTTTAAACCCCTAAAATGCTGAAAAAGCATTTTAGAAGAGCCTCCTTTAAGTGAATCCTTTAAAATGAGGAAATGGGGAAGTTACCTCCACTGAAATGGATACAATGGTAAGTAAATGGCTTCTACCCTTTAATTTAATCCACTAGAATATTAGGAAAAGAGAGGTTTTCCTCACTTTAGCCTCTCCAGTGATGAAGACAGAGGGATTTTCCCCTCAATCCAAACCCTTAAGAAAGAGGGATAGCTGGGCTTCCCTCTCAATTTACGCTGTAGGACAATAAAAAGGGTTGCCCTTAATTCAAACCCATAAGAAACATTGTCAAGGTTTTCCCTTTCTATTTAAATTGGAAAATAATGGAAAATGGGAATTCCCTGTCAATTAACACCTCTCTAACAGCATAGAAAAGGCAAGGATTCTTTCAACTGAGACCACTAAAGTTGCAGGGGAGGTGGATTTCCTCAGAATTTGAACACAAGAAATAATGGAAAAGGAAGCTTTTTCCCTCAACATAAACCCTTTTTCCCCTAATAACCCTTCTATTTTCTGGAGGTGCTGTGGAAGGACCGAGGGCTCTAGGGAGGAATTGATATGATAAAAGTGGAAATTGGAAAGCTCTCCCCTGGAACCCCACACTCTGCCCTTCCGGCTCAGGTGCTGCCCCTCGGTAAGGGGGCTTTTCCCCTGGCATTTTCTCAAAGAGATGCTCTGTGAACACATGCCTCCGGCTGCTCCCTAGGCCCTGGTGGATGGTCCTGGGTTCCTAGAAGGACAGTAGGGAGAGCCTCGTTAATGCCTCTGGAGTAACAACTTCCTGTGCAGGTGTGCCAGGGTGTGGCAGATTTGGTGTTAGTTAATTACTTAAACACTCACTTCTTGCTGGGAGATAGGTAGAAAGTAAAGTAGATTTAAAACTTTAAACAGGTATAAAGAAAATTTTATTAAAAGGCACTAGAGGGGAAAAAAATTGGTAAGAATTAAAACAAACCTTTCAGAACACTCCTCTTCCCCCACAACTTTTTCTTTCCCACTGATAATATAAAGAAACTAAAGGTAAGATTTGTAGTCAGTTTATTACTTTTAAAATAGTTTTTTTTTTCAGTTTACTTAGGGAGAGAAGGTTGTGTTGTTAAGGTAATGGAGATTTCTTTACAAGAGGAAAAAGCCAGTTTTCTTGTGGTGCTTAAATCCATTATGAATAACAGTTGTCCAGGGAATTCTGCTAGAGTGAAGATTTTTTTTTTTTCATTTTTACAAGCTTTCCCACAGCTTGTTCATGGGCAATGTTGACTTATGGGGGATTGTTTTAAAGATGTGCTGTTTAAAGGCAAAAGTTTTTGTTATCTATCTCTAAAATTATTTTTATCTCTGGTAACAAATCTTTTTCTTTCTTGGAGAAGCACAGGACTACTTTTCCTTCTTTTTCTATTTAAACTTCTTAGGGGATTACAGTTATTTTAACATTTATTTTAGCATGGAGGCTTTTGCTTAATATCAATTTGAACACTTTCATCTCCTTATAGTTTCATGTGTTAGATGGAAAAAGAGTCTTTTTTTATAACTCATAAGAGATTTTAGCTCCAAAAACAAGACATCTCCTCCTCCCTCCCTTTGGGACTTAACTTTCTCTTTACTGACTTTCATGCCTTTTTATTGTTCTTTTACATGCTTGCATTTTGCTTTTTTCTCTTACTCGAGGGCGGATAGAAGTAGTGAGAGGGTTAACATTACGCATGAAGCACTCCCGACCCGCCGGTAACTTGTGGCGAGGATGTGCGACTGGGCTTTGTCAGGACTGGCTCCGTGGTAGGATTTTGGTTTTGTGCAGGAGCCGCAGGGGTCTCTGATCTCATCCACGCTGAGGAGGAGGGGGCCTGACGGCAAGATCGCGCTGCTCCGGCCAGGGCTCCGCAGCGTCCCCCGCCTTCCCGCCCGGCAGCTGCTGGGGCCCGGCCGGAGCCAAACCGGGCCGGCGGACGGCACGGGGAGGGGGGAAGGGGCCCGGCCCGCAGCAGGACCGCCCGGACCGGCCTGGCTGAAACGGGGGGCCGGGGCCCGTCACCTCCTCACCGACCGGAAGGAAAGAGAGAGTTCCTCGGTTTTTCGTCTTTAACGCGTGTGTTCCGCTGAGGCGCGTCCAGCTGCGCAGGGGTTCAACAAGCTTGTAGCATCCCATGAACTCTCCCGCCTCAGTCAATTCCCAAGTCCTCGGCTCTGGCAACGGCAGTAACTACTCACCGTAAAGTTAGTTCCTGGGGAGAAAGACAGTCTCCCATTCGGGCTTCTGTACCGCAACTTCCACTCTGTAACTTCCCCGGCTTTCTCCTTTCCCTGTCCTCTCACTGGATTGGTATCCCTGGTGGCCACGCCCCTTTCCCTGGAGACCAAACCCCTCTGTCCAACCCTTAGCTCCGCCCGCCACCCCTTCCCCTTCTCAAGCTGTCTCCTCCGCGTGGTCAGTCTCTTTTTTTCTTACCTCGCTGGGTTCCTTTCAGCCGCATGTGATATCCTCGGCTGGAATAAAGCCCTGCAAAAAGACCCTTTCTTGCCTTTATCGCTGAGCCAGCTGCGGTGGGTGTTGAGTGAGGGTCTGACTGCGTTGCCTGAAGATTATCTCGACTTGCTTTTCCACAAGAGAGGCTTGTGGGGGACAGATTTTAGGCAGCGGCAGCCACTACTTCACCACCTGCACCTTTACAAGCTGTGCTCCACGTATCCAAGTGCGTATCCAGGTGATCCCCCAGACCCTGCCCGAAGCGCTCGCCGTCCTTCCATGAGACAGCCCCGGGAGCCCCCCATAAACTCCTCTTCTCCTGCAGCTCCGTGCAAAAGCCAGCGGCGGCAAACCCTTGCCCTAAAACAGACCCCCCACCCCGGCAGGAGCTGCCTCTTCCTCATCATCCTCACAGCTCACACCTGGGGCTGCTCTGGGTTTCTTTCCAAATGAATTTAGCAATAAATACCTATTCTTTACCAATACCTATAAAAATGAAACATTTGCCAGGTTTTAGTATTCTACACACACCCTTCCCTGTGAATTTTGGGGCACCTTTGGGTCCCTCTGTGGGACGGCACCCAGCGTGACCCCCCTCATTCACCACCCACCCGCTCCCCCACCGCAGTGTGCCTCCCTCTCCTAGGGACCTTGGGGTGTGCCCCAAATGACATCAGAGCCCAGGGTCTTCAGCCCCTTTTCCTGACCCCCAAAGAAGGCACAGGACAAGTCCAACTGCCCTGAACAGCAGCCCAGCACTCCCTTCCAGCCCTTTCCACACGTCCATCCCCCACGAAAGGGACTCCACCGCAAAAGGAAAGGGGGAGCAGCCCCCAGAAGGCTTGAAGCTCCTGCCCTGCTTCGCTGTCGCAGGCCAGGGGCAGAAATCTCCTATAAGGAGATAACTTCTCTACCTCCTTCGTCTTCTCATTTTTCTTGATTTCAAAATCAGAGTTAGAAAACCCTACTGAAGTACAAGACTTAGTAAATAGAAAGCAGTCCCGGAAATTTCATAAGCTAAAGAAAAAGTTATACTTATGTTTCCATAAGAAATAAATCACGTGAGATTCCTACTCACTCTGTCAAACCTTATTTTAGGAAGACTAAAATAACCCCAAGATAAATAGTTCCACAACCAAAACAAAACATGTAAGTAACACTAACTAAAACCACACATCCAAATACACTGAGTTCATTGGTCACCAATCCTAAAAATCCATTTTCTACATGCCTTTAGTATACCTCTTCACAACTAACCTTATACCTTACAAACTATAAATTGTAAATAAAAAAATTTACATGGAACGTAAACTCTTAAAATTTATACAATCTTACCCCAAATTACAGTTAAACCACAAAAATTAAAATTACTAAAATCACTACAAACAAATACTTGTATAATATTTAGTCACAAAAAAATTAATTGGTTTTGTGTTTGATGGTGAATTTTGTTCACTGAATATTCAGGGCTTGTCAGCATCTGTATTATAAATCCTTGTTTTCCAAGACTTTACAATCAAACTATAAAAATGTGTTCCAGACCAGAAGTTTGGCCATGTGCTTATAGTTCAGTAGTGGAAAGCTGTATCATGCAAACAGTCACTTTGGCTGGCACTCACACTCCCACCAAGATGATCTTACCAGGAGCTCCTCTGCTTTTCACTGCACCAGCCATGACAATGTACGTTCACAAAAATAAATCTTTTCCACAATGAACTGCAGGTGCAAGGGAACAAGTGCTGCACAACAGTATTTTTCAGCTTAAGCACAAATAAATACTTTCTAAGTTTTGGATTCTGTTTCAATGCACCAGAACCAAATGAATCTGCTTTGGCTCTGAAAACATCAGCAGCACCAAACACAGCTGCCAGCATGAAACACCTCGCTCTTCCTACCAGCCCTGTCCCTCACACCCTGCTTTTTCATGTCCTGTGCTACCACACTACAGACTGCTCGGAGTAAGATTCATCCCCAAGAACCATCACACCGATACCCTTGAACATTTCGACTTCAATGTGAATATTGTAGGAACTTCCTGAATGCTATTCCCTAGTACAGCAACAAGACAAAGTCCTCACCCACCCGTGTCTTCATAAAGTAGAGTACAAGGGTAAAACAAGCCTAGTGGTTTGAGGGGCATTATCTGCCCAAAAAGCCCAACTTTGCATTTAGATGAAATGAACATCACAAACAGAACAATGAACAACAGATGCACGGGACACCGTCAGCTTGGACCTGTATTTAATTCAGCAACGGAAAAATCTGGGCCTGAGGGTCTCATGAGAGCGTGCAAAATATATTGAACACTGTTCTAGAAGGCGCCCACATCATTACTTAAAGGTCTGGCTCAATTAAGGAGCAATACCAATAAAGTCCACAGACAAAAAAGCCTGGTTGTTTTCTTCTTTTAAAAAACTCAACTATCTAAATTATGGTTTGGTAATTCAGGTGAATTAAGCCTGCCAGTTTCAGTTGAAAAAGGATCAACTAAGTCTACACTCCAAGATATAAACAGCAGTTAAATGTATTAAAGAGGTGGGATACACAGTATCATTGTCCCACTGAATGTCGGCCACAGAAGCTTCTCTCTGCTCCAGGAGCTGCAAGGAATTTGGGTAGTTGAATGACATCAGAAAATCGCTGTAAAATTCAAAGGCAGAAAGAGAAGATCTACCACTAAAAGGCAGAAAAATGGGAAAGGTTTGAGAAAACATCTCTGTGGCCCAAATAATAATTATATCCAATTCCCCAGTAAGAATGGGAACCTGCAGCAATTAGGGCCATACAGTCCACAGCAAGAGCTCAGCTCAGCACACATCCAGAGAGGCATTGTCCAGCATCTAAAATAAAAAAAAAAAAAAAAAATAGAAAGAGTTGATTTATTTTGTTTTAAAGTTACTTTAAGTTCTTGAAACCAAACCAACCTTTGCTCTTGATTTTGGCTCACTGACACACACACACAGGAAGCCAGTGGTCACAGAGGCCCTGCTTGCAGAATTCCTAATCCAAACCCTCGCCTTTCCTGCCCGGCGCTGAGGGAAATCTGACAGAGGAATAATAAAGAGCCTTTGCTGAGAGCAGTCATCACCCCGTCACCAAGCGGCGAGAGGCAGGGCGCTGGCTCGGGGGGCTGCAGCACCGCTCTCTGCCCACAGGGCGGCAGCACTACCGCCCAGCTCAGCCCGGGGCTGCGACGCGCTTTAGGGGCAGGCAGAGAAGGGACGCAAAAGTTGCCAGAGCGCCCCATTCCCTCCAGCGCCAGCAGTTTTTCTTACGGTTTCAGGCACTTGATTGTTTCTTTCCTATATAAAACCATTATGGCATTATTTTCAAAACCTGGACACGTCATGTCCGAGTTTCTGATATTCCTGTACATAATACAGGAGACAGAGAGGGCTTATTATAAAATGAATTTATAAATAAATTTAGATTGTCAATATATATAACAAAGAAAAACTTGATAGGTTTTGGTATTCTATACTCATCCCTCCCTGTGAATCTTCTGGCAGCTTTGGGTCCTTCTGGGGGAGGGCACCCAGCATGACTCCCCCTCATTCTCCACTCACCTGCTCCTCTACTGCAGCATGGCTCTCCCACCAATGTTGGGGTGCCCCAAATGAGATCTGAGCCCCCAGGCCTCCACCCCATCTTCCAGCCTTTTTTCCTCACCCCCAAAGCAGGCACAAAACGAGTCCCTGAACAGCAGTGCACCGCATTATAAAAGCAATTTCCACATGTACATGTCCCCAGAAAGGGGCTCTGCTGCAACAAGAAAGGGCAGCAGCCCCCAGAAGGCCTGAAGATCCTCCCCAGCTCCACTGTCACAGGCCACTGAGCCACCCCAAGGCACGGGGGCAGCAGTTGGCTCATCCCTTCCCTACAACCCTGCAGCACCACCGGCATTTGTGCTCACAGACCTGTCTAGCTGTGGGATGGGAGCACCAGGGACAGATGATGAGAGGCAGAAGGACGGAGTGGGAGCAGAGAAGATACAGGAAGGAAAGGAAGGGTGCAGAATGAAATTGAAAAAAAAAAACTCAAACAAAACCAACAAAAAACTGGGATGGGGAAAAAAAAAAAAAGTAAAACTCTCTGAATTAGACTGGATGGCCCAAAGGGTTCTTTTCCTTGTTTCACAGTACTGCCTACATGCAAGGAAGCTGCCTTTCCTTGCTATGACACCTAATATCAGCAAGGAAACTGTGGAAAAAATTAGGAAACTACAGCATTTACCAGAAGCATTTCTAATATATTTAGGAAACACTTTCAGAAGATCACAGAAAGCATATAACAAAAAATCCTAATCTGCACAAGGCTTGAACTGACCAGCCTCAGGGATCCTAAAGCTCATTTGAAAAACCTGAGTTTTCACATTATTACTATTTCATCACCTATGAAATATAGTGCACCAGTCTTGATCTCAGACCATAAGTCTGGAGTAATACTAAATCATAGAATTGTAGAATGGCTTAAGTTGGAAGGGGCCTGCTATGGCAGTGACATCTTTCACTGGATCAGGTTGCTAATGGTCCATTCATCAGACCCGTATCCCTCCAATATGGCAGTTACAATGCTGGGAGGCCCAAACCAGTGGAATTAGAGAAGCCCAGGTAGATGACGTCCATAGCTTTTCCACTGTTCACTAATGCAGCTACTCCACTGTACTCTAATGCAGCTTCTAGATCAGTCATGTACAATTTGCCGTTGGTGAAGTCATGTTGGCTGTCCTTAACTGCCTCTCTGTGCCCCAAATGTTTTGACTTGTCTTCCAGGGGGATCTGCTCCATGTTCTTAGCATGCAAGAAGGTGAGGCTGACTGGAGAGCAGTTCCCATGGTCCTTGTTTTTACCCTTTTTAAAAATGCATGTAATATCTCCCTTTTTTCAGTCACTGGGGATTTTAGCTGTCTGCCATGACTTTTCAAGTATCATTGAGAATGGCCTGGCAACTACATCAGCCAACTCCCTCAGGACCACGGAATTATACTGATTGCGTCCCATGGACTTCTGGTACATCCAGGCTCCTCGCATGGTCCCAAACCTGATCTTCATTTTCAATGGCTGTTATGAATTCCCCCAGTCCCTGTCTTGAGGGGCAGGGGCTTGAGAGATGTAGGAAGAGAGATTACCACGGAAAACTGAGATGAAAAAATTTGCTGACCATCTCAACCTTCTCTGTGATAGTTGCCTGTAGTTTTCCTGTCTTCCTTATCAGGACAGCACGGGGAGTGTGATGCGTGCATTTTCTTTCCTTTCTTTTGTCTGGGCTTTCCTGACCTCCTCTCTGCTCCAGGCAGCATATCCCTACAATGAAAGAAAAGCACAGACTGAAGACAAGTGTGAGGTTAAAGTAATTTGGAATTCAGCCATCCATGGGTTCTAGATTTACTGCCTATTTAAGTGCAGATATTCCAGAATTTTGCTTATTTCACATTCACAAGAGGCATGTTGCAAGAATGGCATGCGTATTCAAGAAAGGTCCAATACAGCTGCCCTGACCTATAAAAACTGGCACACAGCAACTGCACGGTTATAGTGCTAACATTCATAGTAATAAGTAATGCCAAAGCCAGATGACAACATAGGACATAAATCTGAAATTTGATATTAAAGAGACATCTTCCAGTTGTAAACTGAAGTATAGTATTCTTGCTAATAAAGGATTATACAGACCTGCAGCTGCACAGGGTCTTCTACAGTATACAAAGTAATAAAAATAAAAATTAGGTAAGCAGGAAATACCAGATTTGGAATGTAGAAGTAGAGATTTGCATTTAAAACTTCAAACACTTGAAACTAATACCCATGATGTACCAAGCATCTAATGCATTCTTACCTTTACTGGCTATAAGTCTTTTGTGTGGACAGGCTTCTTTACCTTCTTTACTTGGCAGCTGACAGACGCTGTGTGAGAAAGCAAGGAAAATCAAAATTACTTCAACAAGACCTGTCTTATGGCTTTTGAAATGTACACTTCCAAACACACGTAGTTCCATCATCAGTCGTATTCTGGAGAGGCCAATAATAAATGCCACATATTAAACAGTCACGAAAATGTAAACCCAAGCCTCATAACTGTATAAAGCCAATGTAAATTAGAAGTCCTGTGTTACAGATTTCCCATGCTCTTCATTTCATTCAAAAGCTGGAAGATTTTGGAATGCCACTTATAACGTGAGCTGTATCAGCTGATTTTCTGGTATTACCTCCTAAGCACCGCATCAACTTAAGAGGTATGAATGAATGAGCCATGTATGAAGGATTACCTGCATCTCACTCATACACCTGCATATAGACCACTGAAGGATTAAAAAGGATGGTGTTCTGAAACTCTCAGGCTCCCCAACCCTCTTTCCTTAACCCCTTCCTCAGAGTCTGGATGAGATCAAGTGGTTGTGTGGTTGTGTCAACCATGACCATTCATCCTCCAGAGGCAGATGCTGGAGTGCAAGGACCAAGGCAGTAACCACAGTCTCCTACTGAACCGCATTCAGCCTTTCAGCACTTACACACTGCAAATCCACTTTTGACAGCTCAGGACTTGAGTCAGGGAAGGCACTTAACAATCAGCGTTCATTCAAAGGCGCAGTCCTTCTATCTATAATCATTATGAATTCAGCTGCTACTATTAGTACTAGAGGTCTATAGCTTTACAACAGAACAATTATAAACTGCCACAGCTGCTAAACACATTAATATGTGGCATAGAATATAAGTGAAAAAAATCCTGCAATGCACACCTCTGCTCTAACACCTGGTGTCAGGGCTAAAGTAAGTGACAAGGTCAAACTACAGCTTCCTCCTTTGATTTTCAGAGAGGCAATTTCTGGGGGTCTTGCTGTGAGCTAGAGGGAAAGTCAGCCTAAGTATCCACCTTCTCAAGCTGATGGTGCAGGGATTGTCCTTCTCAGCCAATCCACAACTAAATCCACAACTTTTCGCCCCTGGAGGTGGAAAACTGAAAAATGTGGAGCTGTCATTCATAGATTCCATTGCCCTCATCCCATTCACATGATATTGGACTCATACCTTCTGTTTTGAGGATATGTTCTAAGGCACGTTTCTTTTTCCCTGGCTTCAAACCCATCACTTGGCCTCAGTATCACCATATACATTTCATTTACCCCATTTTTGGTTTTGGCTTGTTTTACTGTTCTGAACTTTCTTCTTATCTTACAGTGTATTTCCCATTGCCACTAATCACCTTCAGGATCCTTAGGGCATCATGCCCATGCAGGTCATGGGCAGTCCAAACAAAACGTGCCACAGATGTAAACTGGTGCATGAGTTATTGCTACTATTCATATTACTTTTAAATGCCAAAGGAGCTTGTAGTTATTGCTACATCATATTACTATTCATAAAGCTGCTAACATCAGCGGTTATTTTTCATACCATTACTCAGGACATGGCCCTATAATTTTCTTGAACTTAATTTTAATAGTCTGTTTCATTCTTTTTTTTGTATCTCCTGAGTGCTGCGGGTGGCAACATGCAAGCAGTCTTTGTTTAATTCCCTGCTTACTCTTGAAGACTTGAATTACTTCCCTTACCAAATCTCCTGCTTTTCTATCTCCTGGTCTATCATTATGCTAGCCAGCGACCCATACCTACAGTGAATTTCATCTGATAGATATTTTTTTACAGTTACAGCTCCTGTATTTCTTTCAGTGGAGAGTATTAAACCCATTCGAAAATGATGCATGCGATGATAATCAGAGACTTTTTTTTTTTTTTTTAATTTAGAGCACTTAATATCATCTATTTGTACTCTTTACCAAGGTCCCCAGGCTCTCTAATTCGAGGGATGGAAGCTTGGTTGTATTAGTTTGCTGATAGGATTTAAGGGGGGAAATGAGATGGCAGAAAGAATCTCATGGCAGCACAGAGCTCTGACCCCAGCTCGTTCAGTAAACACAGCCCACGGCACTGCGCGCGTCACCGGCGGCCAGGGCCTGCCCCTCGCTCGGGAGGAGCCGCCGCCGCGGCGGCAGCGTGCGAGCAGCCATGCGCCCGGGGCAGGCGCTTTGCCCGCTGGCCACAACCCTGCTCCAGCCCCAGGGCTCCCCACCGAGCGGAAACACGGCCACGAAGGGGGCGAGCGGCCGGGGCAGAGCCACAGCGGGGAACGGAACGCCGAGCGACCCCTGCCCGGCGCAGTGCCAGGCCCCTCCTCGCCCCCTCCTCTGCCCGGGGGGACGCGGGCACGGCGGGCAGGAAACATCCCGAGGCTCGTGGGCACCCGCGGGGATGCGCTTACTTGGTCGGGGTCCAAGGGTGCTGCCGCCAGCCGCGAGAAGAGCGGCAGCGCGGGGCGGAAGCGGACGCGGCTCCGACGGAAGCACCGCAGCGACCGGCGGGACCCCGCTACCCGCCCCGCCCTTACGGCTGGGCCGCGCCCGGCGGCGGCGTCGGGCGGGTGCTGCCCGGCACGGCGCGGTGGACGGCGGCTGCAATCGCCGGAGAGGCAGCAGCGTGCGCCCGCCGGTCGGCAAGACGCAGGGTTGGGGTGGCCAAAAAGCGTTACCGCTGGACATGGGCGCACAAAAGAGTGCTCCGTTCTCTGTTCCCGGCCTCCCTCGCCTCTGCTCCTGATCTCCAGCTGGGAAGAATGTGTAGCAATGAGAGCGCCAGATACCGAGAACAAACGTATTTGAGAGCCCTGAACAAAACAGGAAAAGGGAGACGTTTAGTCCAAGCCGAGATTCCAGCTGTAAAAAATACATCACCTTCCAGCTTCCAGTTTTGGTGGGTTACCTATGTTTGTCTGAGAGTCAAAAAAAAAGCCCCAAAAACCAAAAACCCTCCCCAACACCCAAACACAATTTAAAATGCCAGCTAATCACTGCAAGTGTTACAGCAGCAGAGGGAAAAGGAAAATAAGCAGCCGGTAATTTTTATCTGCTCCTTTGTCACATATCTGCTTAAAATGAGTCACCCAAATAATGGTTTTAATTCCACATTAGTGCATACAGCTGTTTACTGAGTTTATGGCTGGTGGTTAGCCTTTATGAACATTTAGTATTTCAGTGCTACAAGGAAGGAAGTGCTGAGCACAGATGTTTGCAAATAGCGATAACAGGATAATAAAGTACTGCAAAATAAAGACAAACTCTTGATGTCCCAGACCTACTCTCTTATTCATGCAGAAAAAAATATCTTAATGCATTCAGTAAAAAGGAATTCCTGTCTGGTGCTGCAATGGGCAGAGATACAGCAGGCTATGCCTGAATACTTAAAGCCTGTTCTGTCATTGTTTGAGCTGGTCTGGTGGAGGTATTTCTCATATCTAATTCTTCTAGTTTTCTTTAGTTGACAGCTGTAGCTGGAGTCCAATGATAAAGAAGTACTTTTTGGAGATGGCAGAGGCTGGAAGCTGCTGAAATAGTTTTATTCTTTCTTGCAGGGCAAGGCAAAACCATTCTCCTCATCATCACAACTCACAGGAATTGAAAGCTGGGGAGTAACAAGAGGGTGTTGAAGAAGTGAGATGATTTGCTCCAGTAGGAGCACAGGATCTGAGCCCCTTAAGATTGGATAATGAAAATAAAATTGCTGTAGGTCTGTGCCTAATTCCTGCTTCTCTCTTTTTACTACCTGTTCCCAGCGTATGCTTGGTCTAGAGTATCAAAACTAGACAACCTGTTTCTGAGACAGATCTGAATTTCACAGCACATACTCATCCTAACTAATATCATGCTGCCTGCAGGCTTTCCACATTCTCCTTGCCAGGAAAATATCACACCTATTTTTAAGACATCAATACAAATCAAGAACACTTGTTGATCCTCCGCTCATCCAGACATAATTTTGGAGATTCAGTGTGGACCTGGTGGGACAAGCAGGGATTCCAAGCAGCCTCTCTGGTGTGAAGCATGCCGTTTCTCGCAGTCACTCTCCTGTGTATTAGCTATTTCCTACCACACGAGAGGAGGTGTGCAAATTTTTCTGGCATCGACTATTTTGTGGCACAAAGTATTTCAGTCAAACTGGCCTTTTTCAACAGGAATTCCTTTTAACCAAAGTGTCCTAAGTAGGTGTTCTTGTAAATAGAGGACTGAGATATCAGGCCATAGTAACAAAAAAGTCTCGTCCCAGTCTATTAAAGTCTTGAATGGAGATTGATATACACCTCAGGCAGCAATATGCGGGGCTGGAACAGCAGTATTATCTCCCTTTTTAAATTATTAAGCTCTGGAATGGAGAGGGGTTTTATTTCAGAGTTTCTTATCAGCATCTTGCCCACATGAACAGCTAAATAAGCGTCTTACCACTTCCTTTCCAGGGAGAAGATAATTCATATATGGGTAACTATTTTCTATGCATCTTGTAAATACATTTGGGAGGAGCCTAAATTTTCTCTTTAGTTGATACCACTCTTAAAGAGAATTGGTCCAGAAAGAAAGGTTTGAAAAATGTCTCAATTTCTACAATTTCATTTATTTTTCCTCCTTTTGCCTGAGGAGTTTTAAAGCCAAATGCTTGATTATAGTTTTCCAATTGGGAATGTAATACAGCATTGGTGGACTCACTGCCAGTCATAGCTATCAACACAGCTTGAATGTCTCATACTGGATGCTCATAGATAAGCCTTCACTCATAGAGTTATTTGGTTTAATATTTTTAAAAAGTGGTTGGGCAATTTGCCATCTGCCTAAAGCACTGCTCCAATTTTATCTGTTTTTTAATTTTTAATTGGTATATAATACTCTAAGGCAGATGGCATATTCATGTGAAGCAGAATGTAACAAAGGAAAGAATCAAATGCAGTCCTCTTGGCACTTTGTTTTCTGACTAAACCCTTATGATAGTTCTCCTTCTGACACATTCCTCATTGTTTAGCTTACAAATTCATTATTTCCACTGTAATCTTGCTGGCTTTTGGCACATGTATAGAAAAGCTGAGCAGTAAATAACTGAACTAGGAATCCTGAGAACTGATGTCAATAATTCCATGGCCATTTCAAAACTCTTTGTGTTGAACGTAAATGTGAGATCTCCATTCTTTTGTTAGCTCTTCTGAGAGGGATAGGATTGTTAATATTCATCTTCCTCTGATACGATTTGGGTTCAGAGGCTCCATGGGAACCAGCCAGATTAGAATAATATAATCATAGTAAATTGCTTGTGGCAAAAATTGTATATAAGGCCGCTCTAATACATACATTCAGTCTCTGGACAGCAACAAAAACATCATAACTGAATTAGACTTTTAACAAGATTTTGACAATTGATGAAGCAAATGCAACCTTTAAAACAAAAAGTTTCCTCCCCCTCGCGTTATCATGTCTGAGCTGTCAACAGACACACATGAGAAATCTGGTCCATCTCCTTCATGAATTAGTCTCTCTCTTTATGTATTGCCTTCCTCAGTGTTCCCATTTGCTGTGAAGCTAGCCAACCTACTTAATTTTGTTCCAGCATCATTAAAATTACTATTACCATTGCAAATGTTTCCAAGGGAGATAATATTAATAACAGTCTCTCCCATCAGATCCTGTCAGTTCCTGGGGTGATTAATATTCCTGTCTGCAAGAAGCATCATATCATTTAGAGAGGGCATATTGCTTGACTCATAGGCTATTATTCTTCATGGTCTGTGTTGAGTGCATTGTGATCTGCTATTATTGCTTTACTGGTTGCACATCTTGAGATACCTCATAAAGCAATTAGGAATAAGATGAAATTCAGATAGATTCAGATCTAAGAAATGACACAACCTTTCACGAAGACCTTCATCTCTGTTTTGTCCTCTTCGTTCACCTTGTCACATCCCCACTGACTGTTGCTGTCATTCTTTTCCTACCTAGGATGCAGATGGCAGCTGCATTTCTCTGTGCATGGCCAGTGAACATCTTTGCAAGTATGATCACAGCACCATGGGCTCCTAACAATTTTTTTCTACTTAAATAGCACATTGTGTCTGTGGGGAGCTGCTACTCTATTTTGAGATGAGTCATTGCAACTCGTTGTCAAGAATTGTCTAGGAAGAATAGAGATCAGATTTTATTTTCATGGAAATAACCATAATCTGGATTTTCCCAGGAAGCCTTGTGATCCACTTCCATAATACAGACTTGAGTGGAGCAATTTTTATTTTGAACACAAAGTGTTAACAGAGTCTGTTCCTGAATGCTCCATGAAAGGCGCACTTTAATTTATGCAGATTATATATAGCATGTGGGTTCAACAGCAAGTTGCCATGGCAAACCCGAGGGCAAATCTTGCTTCCACAAAGTCTGATCTGTGCCATAAACACTGGCTGATCTGATTTTCTTGTCTGGTCTAAAGCAAATGCCCGGGAGGATTTGTCTTCTCAACATCAAAATCAACTTTATGGTCTTGGGGCATAGGTTGCAGATTATTTACATCACCTGCTTCTCAAGTGTTTTCCCTCAAAAATCTTCATGGAAGCAGTCAAACCTTCCTGTCGTTATGGGGTCAAAGCTGCACAGGAAAGGAATCAGGGAATCAGGAGTGGCAGGTGAATTGCCATTCGGTGACAGGTTGGACACAGATATTGAACTCCTTAGGTATGCAAAAGAAAGTTCACTTCTTTGCAGCACAAGGTACAAGACAGCAGCAGCAGAAATGACTTCTTTAAGACTACAGGACTCACTAACACCCCTCGTGGATATTTGCCCCTATAGACAAGTGTAGAAATGTCAGTGAAACATTTTCCCCTCTAATCCTGCAGCAGAATGCAAGCTGCCACCTTTGGGTCGCGTTTCTAGCAACGGGGAGGTGGCAGGGAGTGGGCGATGTAGTGTTAGAGACCAGTCAAGGCAGAGGACGGGGCTGGGGGCTGTGGAACGACTCCGTGCTTAGGATAGGCTGGCTGTACAAGATACTCTAAGCTGCAAAAGACAGCAAATCCACTTCAAACATGGATGTAAGAGAGGTATTCAAACAACAAGGACTTGTTAATTTTGTGTGGCTTTGCCAACAACTGCACCTGAATGGTGATCTGTACTTAATTTTTTTAAAGATAATAAATTAGGAAAAAAGTCAAACTTAATGCTAACTACTAGATTTACTCAGGTCTGACAAATTAGTTTAAAGATAAATCTAAGAGGAAGACCTCTCTGAAAAACAAGGAAAAAAACCCAAACTTTCAATGCCTTTTAAATAAACCAAAAAAACTAAAAAAAAACCCAAAAATGTTTTCTCTCAGTGTTCCCCCAGACAAATGTTTTCAACTCCTTATTTTGAAGTAGAATTTTCCTTTTAAAATCTGTCCTGATGGTGGAACTAAAGGCTTTAAAAGAAATAATGACAGACGTAAAATTGCATAGAATAAAAAATTAAATTTTCCATTCAAGTTTAAAAAAAGCACTTTGGATGGATTTTGAGATGACCTTTTCTGAGCTAGACTTCTGTTCTTGCCCAAAATAGTCAGTGTTAGTTTAGCTAACACTGGGTAAAATCAATCTTCCACATATCCTCTTCATAGGTTTTTAGACAGAACACTAAACTGCTGAAAAATAAGTTTGGCCAACTACACCAGTGATCTTGCAAAGCAGTAAAGCTCTCAAATACATTAATGGTATGAATTTATTTAGCACAGTCACACTAAGATTAGTATTTCACCAAAACCAGTGTGGAAAAAATGAGAAATCCGTTCTTCATTTATTGAAGACAGCCAAAGTGACTGTTTGCATTATACAACTTTCCACTACTGAACTATAAGCACATGGTCAAACTTCCGGTCTGGAACACATTTTTACAGTTTGATTATAAAGTCTTGTAAAACAAGGATTCATAATACAGATGCTGACAAGCCCTGAATATTCAGTGAATAAAATTCACCATCAAACTAAAAAACAATTAAAATCAGGAGACATATGTCCAGTAGAGATGGTCGGGTCACTGGTACAAGGCATCCGCTTTGTGGAATGCAAGGGAGACTCTAAGCAAAGCACCTTATGTAACAGAGGCAACAAGGAAATTGTGTAGCTGGGCTGGACTTATAGGCTCTCCAGAACATGAAGGGGTAGGTTGGTGAGGGACACAAAAGCTGGAAGACACTGGATCCACTTTCAAATGACTTACGGGATATATGGGCTAAAACTTCCTAGGATGAAGTTGTTCAGTGTTTTGTATTGCTGTACAGCTTCTTCTATAGGTAGACATAGAGACAATCTGCCATTAAAGACACTACAGCTAGCTCTGGGCATTGAAATGCAGAGCCAGCAGGGTTGAAGCTACCTTGAATAATTTATGAGGGGTCATCTAAATACAGTCCTTTCTGTTTGGAAAAGTGTAGTCTTTTTAGAGAAAGTATGCTTCAGAATTGTGTTGTTTTGTTTGTGGTTTTGGTTGGTTGGTTGGGTTGGGTTGGGTTTTTGTTGTTTGTTTTTTTTTTGTTTTGGTTTTTTTTTTTTTTTTTTTTGTCATGGATAAATTTTTGACGTGAATTGTTTCAATATTTCTCCAATAAATCATCTTTATTGCACTCCTCAGGTCAGCATGCCTGATCAGGTCACAACCTGAACTTCTGAGTTACATCCACGCTAAGTCCTTTTGAACCTGCACAAACCTGTGGGAATCACAAACATGTCTCTCTCTTCAGT